CAACTTAATAATTTCCGATTTAAGTGCATTTTTGCAAAGTCGATCTTTTAGTAATAACGTAAAAAAATAACTAATTTAGATTATGAAAAATATTGTAAAGCAAACTTAGACAAGTGATTAACATCATATTAAGTTACTAACTGAGTAACTGCTTAGCGTTATTTAATGAATAATATTACAACTCAATTTCCCTATGTATCCTTAGTGTAAATATAAAAACTACGTACTAACTAGTACAATATACCGAAAGTGGTTTGTCATAACTTTTTAAGAATGTTATAATTGTAGTAGACTAAAGCTCAAGTAAGTGAAGATATTCAGTTATAATTAATAGCGGAGCCACATACAATACTAGCATGGGCTATAACACAAGTAGCTTCTAGGGAAGAAAACATTCCTAAATGTAGTTTTGCTTATGTTGAATATTGGTCACTCAAACTGATCCTTGTTGCCCACCAAATTAAAACTAATTGTACTAAACTCACATTTTACCGTCGATCCCGCTAGGCGTCACCAACAAAATTTGATAGCAACCTGTTTGTGCTCTATTTTGTGCCATCGGATAGAGGAATTGAAGCAGTTGAGTGAGCAGAGTTTTAAGCCGTTGGATGAGAAAAAAAATCAAAGATTGGAATTGTATATGCAATTGGAATTATACAAACACCATGAAGATCATTTATCCGTTGGAGACTTCTATTACAATTTAATGATTTAATGGCGACACATGAGTTTATCCATCAATTGGAAAATCATCTTCCAATTTCGTGGTTTATACCTGAGGTGAATGGAGACTGTTTTGATATATCCCTTTATTGATGTTATCTCAATATTATCCCTATAAGCATGAGATAATATAGCTGCTAGTCAGTTGTGTTGTTGCATGCTTTGAATTGAGTACGAGATATCGACTCAGAATTGGACTTTGGCTACATAAGGTGCACGTGGTATTTGTTGATAACTAAGACATAAAAAAAGGGGGATTTGATTGGTGAGGTGATATGGTGGAGATATTAATTATTTATCCAATTAAAGGTTGGTGATACTAATGATGGGTAAATGTTGCCATGTACGTGGCTTGGTGAGATGCGTGCATGAGATGGAACTATTGATGAGATAAGAAGCCTAGATGGGCTACGATTTTGGTGGTGCTGTGATAAAGCCTAAATAGGCTTTCGATTTGTTTGAAATGTGACGGATAGTCATCTGAAGGCTTGACTTTAGCGTATGGTACACGGATCAGTCTCCTTTCTAGAGTTTGAGTTGCAGTTTAATTCTACGAAGGATGTGCTATTTACACTTTTTTTTTTTTATATACTTTTTATTAATTTGTATCCATTGATATTCTTCAATTCATCCGATCTGACAATCAAAAATAAAAAAAAGTATAAAAGAAGTAAAAAGGAATGTGTGAATATCATATCCCTTCTACGAAAACCATCAGGCCGTGCCAAGCAAGAATGTGACTTCTGTAAATACAAGCTAGAAGAATGTACGAACTTCAACACAACACACAAGTCTGTTATGTGTAATTTCTCGCTTTACGCAAAACTCTTTCATCTTTGAAAGAAAACCCTAACTTCCTTAATTTCGTCAAACATATCTTACAAACAACACTGTGCTTGACCATCAGCAACATCTTACAGTTTGTATTGGACAACACTGACATCGTAGAGTCAGACAAACGTGGAGTAGCTTACAGTTTGTATTGGATTTGTATTGGACAACACTGACATCGTAGAGTCAGACAAACGTGGAGTAGCTTACAGTTTGTATTGGACAACACTACTCCAAGTTCGATTGACTACCTATCCAAGTCTCTATCAACAAGAATTCTTGAAGACCTTGTTGGAAGAGGTCACTTCATCTTTCTAAGTTCAGGTTATATCATTCGGCACATTGAAAGCCAAACTTATTTTATGATTGGATTCACAAGTACATTTCAGAGTTCAACACTTCGACGGCCGAACCACATCTACAATCAAGACACTTATCTCCTTTAAGTATTTGTGTCCATACAGTCTGCTACTGATTTGCACACTTATATTTGGACAAACATAATTGAAGCAGCCAAGTCTGGTTTAGGCGATTCGTAAACTTTGAAGTAACTACCAGCCTTGCGTTCAGGCTCTAAAATCCAGAGGCCAAGACGAGTTATTTCCTCGGTCGCAATCGCAAGATATAGAAGTTTAGCACATTCGACACCACCACTAACACATTCATTCACTCATCGACTCAGCTCAGCCATCAAGTTGGCACGCTCCGAATTCAATTGTCGGTTAAGTTGTTTTTAGACTCAACACAACCCTATTAAAAAATATGACTTTGCCATTGCTTATAGTATTTTGTATTTGCTTCCATCTCTCACGATCCCACTCGCATCTTTAGTTGGCACTTGGCAGCCTTTTTCAGTGGCTGGCCGTGAAATGATACTTATTTAAGAATATCGATCTATGCAAACCTTAAAAGACGATACTAATTTGCACATAAAAGAAAATCCCCTTGAAACCTCCCTCATACATATATTGGAGGAAAATGCTAAAGAGATTTTTTCAAAAAGTAAAATTTTTTATGAATTCTTCGTTATCTTAAGCTTAAACATAATTTCCGATGTGCTTTAGATTTGTGAATACTTTGTAAAAAAGTGCAATCCTATATGCCAAAGCTTCAAAGGAAACATTACACAGAAGAAAAGTCACTGACTTACTAAACAAGAAAATCACCGACAGATTGCTTTAGGATTGGGGTAAAAAAGAAAAAAGAAAAAGAAAAAGAAAAAGAAAAAGAGGTACTCCAGCATTTTTCAATGCGTCAATCTCAAGCAAGGTATATTTTTGTTCCACTGTAACAGAACACTCAAATTAGTGCATTAGTAATTTTCTACCAGAGATCGAGAAAATGGAGATTGAACATTTCAGTCACAGACATCAATTGACGTACATAGAAGAGCAGAGAAAGGATGGTCGATTCGTTATTTGCAACGGGTGCGAGGAGGCCTTGGTTGGCCCTTGCTACACTTGCAACCAATGTGTCAATCCCTATTTCCCCTACAACCTCCACAAAACATGCGCGGATCTACCCCGTGAGATCCGCCACCCTATCCACCGTAAAACACCCCCTTAAGCTCCAATGTTTCAAAGATCCTTTCACAGTTTACACTTGTGACTCCTGCGACCAGCCTTGCCGAATAGCCTACACTTGTTCTGATTGCGAGCTAAACCTCGACGTCAAATGTGCCTCGAATTGGCGCCTCATTCTTGAGGATCGCTGACACGTGCATCAGTTCACTGTCCTCCGGAAGAAAATTCCATTCGATTGTGACATCGGCGGCGGAACATGGGATCATGTCTCGTATCTTTGTACCGTCTGCCACCTCTTGGTCAACAAAGCATGTGCTCATACGTTACCACACCGCATTAGGATCAGTGCGCACGAACACGGCCTCACGCTTATTTGGTACCTTGAGGATGCCTATCCGTGGGAACAGTTTTGTAAAATCTGCTATACAAACACTGATAGTTGCCGCGCTGTTTATTACTGTCGTCGGTGTGGTTACGTTGCTGACACTCTGTGCATTCGAGGAAATAACCGACACCTTTGATGATGACAATGCCGACGACGATGATGATCTTATACCTGGTCAAAAGCAGTGGAACACGGCGGATGACCAAAGAGAATCAGCGGCGGCACAACAGATCAAGCATTTTAGTCATCATCAACATTTGTTAGTCCTCAGTGATGCACTTAGAGATCTTGATTGTACAAATTACTTGTAACGGTTGCATGCAACCCATCACCATGAGCACCGGTGCCTTTTATAGTTGTTGCACCGAAGAAGAACAATGCCGTTTAAAACTACACCAAACCTGTGCTCATTTACCTAGAACAAGGCTTCACCCACTTCATCGACACCAGATCACACTCCTCTCGGCAGCTCCTTCATTTGACAGAGTTTTAAGTGTCATATGTGCCGAAGCTAGAGCCAAGGCTTCTCTTACTATTGTGACAAATGCGACTTATACCTTGACCTCCAACGCATTTCTGTTTCAAACCCTCTTAAGCATGACGCTCTTCTTCAACTTTCATCCGAACAAAGAAGATTGCAAGGGTTGTGGTATTTCTCTTACGGACGTACGCTTCGGTTGTATCAAGTGTAACTTCCATTGTTGTGTTGCATGTGTTAAACTACCTCTTACTGCAAGGTACAGAAACCTCAATCTTACCCTCAACCTCACCTATCATCCGGTTCCAAACAAACTAGGTGAATATTATTGCGAAATATGTGAAGGAGAACGAGATCCTACACATTGGTTCTACTCCTCTACAGATTGCAACTTTGATTGCCATCCTCATTGCCATTCCTTTCGATAAGCGAGAGAGCATTCTTGATTGTCAGTTGTGTGGAGAACCTCGTGAAGGTTTGGTGTTTGAATGCGCGGAGTGTAATATAAGTATTCACCGCAAAGGAAACTGTAATTCTATAGTCTCCGAAGAATAAGAATAAGAAAATGCCATTACGCTTATTGAATTTATTCATTCTGGTTTCAAATTAAATTGGATTTCCAGTCCAAGGTTTTCTTACCCATGAAGCTGTTATAAGTTGAAGCAGATGTCGATCTTTCGTTAGCCATAAATCATAGAGAATAATTCTTGATGTCAATCTGGAAATTCAAAAAATTTACCCGAAATGTAGTCCTTTATGCCGAAGGATCTTACTAGCAGTAGTCTGTAGACCTATACTACTTACAATCTGATAATTTCAGATAACTAGACCATTTAATCCATGTGCTATGCTCTCTGTAGAAGTGGAATTTTTATTTTTTCTTGTGAAAATGGTTGCCTGAAGATTAACATTTTGACAGGCTTTAGTGGCTCCACAGTGTCGTCTCTCAAAACTTTCATACCTGAATCTAGACGACACAAACAATGCAACCTCGGCTCATTCTAACGACGTCGAATGTGCTCCTATCTGTTGCCACATTGACTTGTTACCACAGGGGATCTATAAAAAGCATACAAAGTTTATTGTTTCAGAACCGTTAGCTATAGTTATTACATGCTCCAAATCTCACAAACTCATTTAACAATATGGTTGTTTCATCGAAGTTTTAGAAGAAAAACAATGCAGATCAACAATAAAAGAAACACCTGTTGGGAGGAATGTGTTTTTCACTTCTTGTTTGTCGAATAAGAGCTGGAAAAGTGTTGTTTTTCCTATACTATCATCACCAACAATGCCTACTTCCCTGAACCGATCATCACTTCCTTGCTGGAAAAGCAACTTGTTCATTGAAATCACATCCTCATCAAATCCATAACCTTGGAAGCATCTACTGAACGAGTAGACCACCTCAAAAGCTCTCTGTCCTGTGAGCTTGCTTGGCCATTATTAGGTTGTGGAGCAAATTTCCATGGGATGATCTCTTTTATGTGTTATAACCTTGAGTCTCCCTCCTGATTCTGTTTATGGTCAGTAGCTCCTGATTCTGTTAATGTTCTAATACAAATCTAATCAGAAGAACTGCCCTCAGCGAAAAAGGCATTAGAAGACATAGATTTAAGAACATCCTAGCTGAAGTACCGACAAAAACAAAAACAAGAGACAATACCATGTACAAGTTTGCTGCCACTCCACAGCAGTAAATGCGGAAGCAAAGTATTACATGACATATCTAGCAAATAGTATAACAGCATAGGTGAAGGAAATATTCATGCTCTCCTTCAATAGGCACGCAATACTAAATGATCCTGAAAACCATCTACTACCATAGGTAAATACATTAAATGCTAAATTTCAACTTGTACTTGAACAGCAGATTTGTAAAGAATGCCATGGTTACCGTTGTTATCAAATCAATCACAAAGACTTCTATAGCTCGAAGAAGTGGCACAACAATGAAAAAGAAGTTATCGTTTGTTTCAACCAAGGTGTTAATTAAATCGCTATTGCTGCAAGCATTCATGAGTCATAATTTATCTGGGATGAGTAATATGTTAAATGGTACAGCTCAATGAAACACAAAGCCCCCATCAAGGCCCAAAGCAGCTGACACACAGAAGAACATTATCCAAACAACAAGATACACACACACGCACACACTCACATATATATAACACAACATACTCACTCACAAACAGAAGTCAAATGGGAAACAATCACAGCTAAAACACAAAGAACCCCACCAAGCACCAAGGATTGTAATTCTTCAAAAACTTGAAACTGCAAAATGTAATGTGCAATTGGGGTTCCTCTGCAAATAAGTAAATAAAATAGCCAGCAATGAAATTGAAAATTTGATTGACCTGCTACACTGTTGGCAAAACCTCTGTTCAAGACCAGCAACAATGACAGTGGGGGTTTTAGAGTGCAAGCCACAGACTTTGTGCCTGGAATGGTAAGCTTGGGCACCACTCAGATCTACCTCGCAGCCCTCCACCTGACACCGCGGCGGCTGACCCAAATTTCCGCCGCCCCTTGCTTCTTGGGCGGCGTTGCCCCGGCGGAGGAAGACCCAGCAGCAGACCCGGATGATGATTTGTGCAGAGCTCCCAAACCCCCATCCTCAAAGTAGATTTTCCGGCCGAATTTCAAGCCGTTGAGTGACTAAGCATGAAGTTGGGCGGCGAAGAGGAGGAAGAGCTCGCTGACTCGGTCATAGAACTCGAGCCTGTAAGATGTGAGTGTCAAGGAGAATGAGCCTTGTCGTTGACAAATTGATAGCTCAGTGTATGAGTTATCATGTTGAGGAATTTCCGATCCTACTTGGCTTTAGATTAAGAGCCCGTTTGGTATTGCTGTGCTTTGAAAAAAAACTGTTGTGAGAATAAACGGTTGTGAAATAAATCAGTAAAGTGTTTGGTAAATTTTTTTGTAAAAGTGCTTTTGGAAAAGAAAAAAAAAAGCAATCTGATAGTGAGTCTTTTCATTAAAGGAGCACGGTAGCTCTGTGTGCTTTGAAAAAAAGCCAGTTTTCCAAAGCTGCAAATAGCAGCTTCAACTTTTTCCTTTGATTTCAGCTTATTCTCACAGCAGCTTCCAAAATAAGCCATTTTTTTTTCAGTTTACCAAACACCTAAAACCCTCTTTTTTTATGGGTGATTTTTTTTTTAAACACCTCACTCCCAAACCACCCCTAAGAGTCCTAATAACATGCAATTATATTCACGTAACCCTGTCAAGATTTGACAAGAGTTCAAAACTTACTAGGACTATATCAGAAACCTTAATCTGTTAATATCCGAGGTATCAATTAATAGGCCTAATATCAAGGGATTATGGATATATATAGGGAGGTCCCTGCACTCACATCACCGTCCCTTTTGAGCGAACCCTATTCTAGTTGGACTATTGGCTGCTGAGTGTAGAAGATCTTCCGTCTTTCCTTGCAGCAATGTCGAGTTCTTCGTCTTCAGGTAAGTCTAATATGTTTACGTATGCATGTCTTTGTACGTGTGTGATTCTATGCATGCAATGTTTAAACTTCCAACATGTGGTATCAGAGCACACACTATCGTGTTTAGAATCCTTACAAGCACAAGAATATGTTGATTAAAATGCATGATTCTGACATAAGGCTTCCGCGCAATGAAATTGATATAGTTATCGACTATTATCGATAGACATCATGTGTAGAATAATATCACTTATACACGCACACATGTTTATATATATATATATATATATATATATATATATATGTATGTACCTGTTCGTCTTAAGTTTTATTTTCAGGAGAACAAGGATGAGTCTTCGGATCTCAGAAGACCAAAACCTAATGAGTTACTATCACTATATGACTTGACAGACAAATCTTTTGTGAATCATGATCAATTTCAACTCAAAAGTGTTTGAATCATGCTTCAGTTCATCTGTTCAACATAATGATTAAACTGATGGGAATATATTTTGAGTTAATTCTAAAGAATTCTTATATTCATTCATGTTTAATTGGTGTATAAGTGAGATGCAAAATTAACATTGATACAATTTTATCTGCTTAAAAATGTTAAAATTGTGTCGCTAATGCAAATTTTGTATTTCAGTTGTGCAAACCCTAGTATAATCAGTTTTCGATCTAAAGATGTGACTGGTATTATATGATTTTGATGCCGTTAATTGTTCATATCCTGAACTTTTAATGAAGAACTTATGAGAACAAATAATAAATTATATGTTGTTGATGCAGCTACGGCTTCTCTTAACTTCTCCAATATCGAAACACTAACTGGTTCAAACTATAAGAAATGGAAGGAAGACATGGAGATAGCTCTTAGCATGATGGATTTTGATTTAGCCTTAAGGGAAGATAAACTTGCAGCGATAACAGCTACAAGAACAGCTGAAGAAAAACTGAAGTTTGCTCAATGGGAGAAGGCAAACAGAATGGCTCTTATGATTATGAGGAGGGCCATGACTAGCAGTGTGAAAGGTGGCATTCCAAAGAGTAATAGTGCAAAAGAATTTTTTGATGCAGTGGGAAACAAATTTAAGGATTCTGAGAAAGCTGAAACGGGGAATTTTCTCACAAAACTGACATCCATGAAGTTTGATGGTGTTGGTAACGTGAGAGAACACATACTAAAGATGTCAGACATTGCACAGAAGCTGAAGGAACTGGAGCATCCAATCACAGATCAATTTCTAGTGAATATGGCATTGAATTCCTTACCTGCACAGTATGGCCAGTTGAAAGTGTCATACAACACTCAGAAAGCAACCTGGGACATTGATGACTTAATCTCCATGTGTGCATAAGAGGAATTGAGACTATCAATCGATAAAGTGGAGACTATAAATCTTGTTCACACTGCAAAGGGCAAACATGTTGCAATTGATTAGTCATCTTTGGCTGCTGGTAAGCAGAAGAAAACATTACATTTTTGTTTTTTTTTTTTAAATATTAACCCCCTTAAACGATCTCAAAAATTTAAAGCCGTCTCTGAAACACCAAAGCCTTGTTATTTCTGCCAAGAAGTTAGTCATCTAAGGAAAGATTGCATTGGTTTTAAAAATTGGCTTGTTAAGAAAGGTAATGAAATCAATGTTTATGTTTGTTTTGAGTCAAATTTGATTTTTGTCCCTCATTTTAGTTGGTGGTTTGATACTGGTTGCTCAATCCACATTACAAATACCTTGCAGGGACTCACAAACCTAAATGAGAGAAATAATGAAGTGTACAATGTTTTTGCTGGAAATGGGAGCAAAGTAGCAGTCGAGTCAGTTGGCAGTGTCTCTTTAAAGCTTTCTTCTGGTTTTATTTTGTTTCTTAGTCCAGTACTCTATGTACCTTCTATGAGAAGGAATTTGATTTCAACTTCTAAGTTAGTCAAATCAGGTTATACTTTTATTATAGACAATGAAAACGTTGATGCACAAAATAGCGGGGGTTTTGGTACAACAGAAAGTGTTAAGTTTGTGACCTTCACCAGATTGCTCCAGTCACTATTGTGGATAAGTATGTAAATGGATAGAGACAGGGAAGCAAACACAAGATGTACGTGGTTCACCAGATTGGCTACATCCACGGAGTAGAGAAGTTCTCATTAATTGTGAAGGGTTTACATAAGTACATAGGTTCAAGCTCTCCTTTAGTGAGTACTAGTGAATGATTTAGTACAAATGACATTAGGAAATATTGTGGGAGAATGATCTCCTTTTATAGAAGAGAGTTTCTAGCTTTGTTTTGACATTGACACATGTCGTGTTGTGATTGGCTTATGATGATTGGCTTTTGATGTCGACATGTGTTGCACTGTGATTGGCCTCCTGGTTTGAGAGAAACTTTTCTGGGTCATTGACGGTATAACGTTGACCGGTGATCGATAGTTTCGGGATTGGTTAAGTATGGTACAAACAGAAAGTGTAAGACTTTTCCATTCGAATAAATTAGACACTTTGCATGGTTTTGCCTTAACTTCATGTTGATATATTGCAACTAGAGTGTGATTGTTTACATTAATGTTTCACAGTTTGTCACATTGGTTCCAAGAAACTATCTCAAAATGAAAACTCTCACATACTTTGGCATAAAAGACTCGGCCATATATCCAAAGAAAGACTTGTGACTTTAACTAAACAGAATCTCATTCCACATCTCAATTTTGAAAGTCTTTTGACCTGCATTGATTGTTTCAAAGGAAAAATGACCAACACCAGGAAATTAGGATCCACAAGAAGTAACAAACTATTAGAGATAATTCATACACATGTGTGTGGCCCTTTTCCAAATAAAACAATATGTGGCAACTCTTATTTTGTCACATTCATTGGCGACTTTTCAAGATATTGTTATGTGTATCTTATATTTGAAAAATGTTCTGTTCTTGATTGTTTTAAGACATACAAAAAAGAGGTTGAAAACCAGCTAGAAAAGAGCATTAACATAGTGAGATCGGATAGGGGTGGTGAGTATTTTGGCAGGTTCACAGAGACTGGACAACACAAGGGAGCCTTTGTATATTACCTTGAAGCCTCGGGGATCATTGCACAGTACACCACTCTAGGTACTCCACATCAAAATGGAGTAGCAGAAAGGAAGAACAGAACCCTAACGGACATGATTCGATCCATGTTTTCAAGGTCTAAACTTTCAAGTAAGTTTGTCAAAGGGTTCCAAGTAAGTTTGTCAAAGTCATACCTTTTGAAGCTTAGACAAGAAGAAAACCAAGTTTCAATCATTTTCATGTATGGGGATGTAGAGCTGAAGCACAATTTTATAATCCTCATGAGAGGAAGTTCGACTCGAGAACTGTCACTTGCAGGTTCATTGGATATGCAGACAAGTCCAAGGGTTTTAAGTTCTACTGTCCTGATTCTCACATTAGAATTCAGGAGACTAACAATGCAAAGTTCATCGAAGATTTGGAAGAAGAAACAGTGCATCATAGTAGCTCAGATTTCCAAGAAATTGGAAATGAAGATGGTCAGCTCTCCACAACAACTGATGCATCGTTACTTGGACTTTAAGAAAACTCTTTTTCTCTCCCAACTGTTTTACAAACTACTCAATCAGTAAACACCTTGTCATTTCCTGAAACACTGCCTGATCAAATCCCCGAGCATCAAGTTCCTGAGGATGCAGCTCAACCATAACAACAAGGGCAGTTGGCTATAAGACACTCAAATAGGCAAAGAAAACTAGTGATCCTACCTGACTTTGTGCACTTACAAGAGACTGAATATGACATAGGAGATGATGATGATCCTCTAACTTTCAGTCAAGCTATCAATAGCTCGAGAGCAGGCCTGTGGCGTGCAACTATGGTCGAAGAACTAGCAACTATGGAGAAGAATCAAGTTTGGACACTGGTGCCACTTCCATGCAATGCTAAACCCATTGGCTATAAATGGGTGTTCAAAACCAAAAGAAATGCAGAGAGAAAGGTTGAAAGACACAAAGCTAGACTTGTAGCTAAGGGTTTTACACAAAGGGAATGAATTGACTATAATGAAACCTTTACACCAATTTCATCCAAAGACTCCTTAAGGGTGATCATGGCTTTAACAGCCCATTTCAACTTGGAACTGCATCAAATGGATTTAAAATTAGCCTTTCTTAATGGTGTTTTGGATGAAGAAATAGTGATGGTTCAACCACCAGGTTTTAAGGAGAAAGGGAAAGAGACTATAGTTTGCAAGCTCAACAAATCGATCTATGGTTTAAAGCAATCCTCCAGGCAGTGGTACATCAAGTTTGATCGAGTGGTTTCTGCTTTTGGTTTTGAAGAAAGCAAGATTGATGACTGTATATATCTC